TATTATTATTATTATTATTATTATTATTATTATTATTATTATTATTATTATTATTATTATTAGCATCACCGTTATTCTTATCGTAATTCATATCAGTTGTGCCACTCTATTATTACAACGAATTGTTCTGGTAATATCACTGTTTCTGTCGTTTGATTTCCATCGACATTGTCTAAAGGATATTTGATGAGAGCATGCGCTGACAAATGGTTATTAATACCCGATCACTGTGTAAATTTGTTCCGAGGTCAAAGAATATAGTTGATTAGAATCTTTGCAGATGATTTTAATAAGAATCACAGTTATGAGTCAGGAGAACGTAGATATGGTTGAATTTTCAGTGGACTGACTCTATCTTACATTCGTTTATTGATGCGTTATTATTTGGTGGATTCAAAAGATACGAATGGAGATGTCGGTCGAGTTCGTGTAATCGTCTCTGAAAGCTCATCGTCAGCATCTCATCAAATATCACTTCTTGCACGACAGGTCTACTGACAATAAGTGAATTATCAAATAAGTGCATAAACTTGTATTTATTAGTAGCTGTTTGATTGCATTCACTTTTGATAAGTCTAGCGGAAAGTGTGTGGATCAGTAACGTGAACTTAATAATGCAAGTACTTTCCAACCGTTTCAGGTATTTCTGCTCGATAATCAAATATTGCAAGAGTCGACTACTGATAAACAAAAGAACGAATACACCCAAACTTTTAATAAAGACCTCTTGCTCTCAGAGGATGATGGTGATGATATCAGGTGCTGCTCATAATCCTTTTCAAACAATTCAATCTTTAGGCACTTCAATAATTTCTTCGCAGCTAGAACATAAGACGTTCACTTCAACCATAAGAAGTTCGGCAATTCGACAGAAATCCACTAAAGACTTTTTTACTTTTGTTGTTCGCTTGTGGTGTATTTTCGAATTACACCGGTTAAGATTCAATCTATCGAAATATCAGTCTCAACAGAATTTGTTACATTCGTTCTCTTGATACTTAACGTAAATTTCAGGCTCCCAATCCAACAGTTAGTTGTTTCATTGCTGAGTCATCAACTGATTCTTCAATTAATTGGCTGTTTACTCTTGCAAAATGTCCATTTACCAGTTACTGGCTCAGCTGAAACGATTCTCAATAAAATCAACAATTCATCGGAAGATAACAACAGTATGCTTGCTTCTATCCCTTACAATAAAATCAACTTGATTTCTTATTTTTAGTAATTTTTAAAGTGAATATGATTAGTTATCAAAAATATTTTCCGCTCAACATGACTACGGTTTATTGATTTTCAATGCCTTTCACATGGCATATCTCGTTTTCTAAAGTCAGCAAGAAATCTTTTATCCGTTATTCAGTATCGTGCATATACAGATAATTGCCACAGTTAGAAGCCAAATCATTACTTAGTAATCGTTCATTTGCTGAATGATCTGCATTTCTATTATTGTCGATGTTGAGTCCTCCTCAAATTTCTCTGATTACAACACTGAAATTCAACGAAGATTTTGGATCGTCACGGAATTAAACGCAATTCTGTACGGCTCTGGGAAGTGATGAAAAAGTGAACGATCTCACTTTTTTCAGAATATCTTGACAAATTATGTGAAGANCACGTAACGACACTATTTCACTGTCTTGATGCGTCACTACAAGTCTCACGCCATTTCGACTCTCGTCCAGGCCTGAAATCACTCATTCAGAGTATCTTCAACTTTTCGTCGGCTCCAAATCTATACAAGCAATGTGTGCTTGCGTGGACATTGCGATCGTTGACAATGTACGAATTAGTGCGTACTTCCGCTTCTTTGGATGAGTATGTTAGCTGACTCAACTTCTTTAATACTCGCGATAAAAGTATTGTATTTGTTAACGTTAATGGTTGATTTGTCGAGAGTGTCCTTAACGAATTTGTGTTTGAGGAAACGTATCGATGATTTACTGAGCAATGGCAGATGTCAAGAGGATGATTTTATGGTTTGGCAATTGCACAGTTGTCATGCGAAAGTGTGTACATACCTTTGCACAGTTGAGAAATCATTGGCGTTCGAGAAGATCAGTCATCTAACGAGATCACATGTGGTTCAGGTATGCATTCAACCGTGAAGTTCGAAAGTATTTTTCCACTTCAACATTATTGCAGTCATTTTCCAGCTCGAGCTCACGTTGATTATTAACTTGTTTTCGTCACAGTGTAAAATGAATTCGAAGAAAACAACGTTACGAGTTCGAAAATCTAACTCATTGAGAACAAAGCAAGCAATCGATAAATGAAAACTTCTAGAATATGGGTCTGGAAAAAAAAGCTCAGAATTTTGTTGTTGTAGTTATTATGAACTGTGCTGATATAAAGTTTGCATTCTGTTGAACTGAAATGATTTCAGCAATTTTCGCTCATACTTGACGATACCCATGAGGAAACGCTGAACGATGAGAAATTATACAAAGTAATCTGTTCCGATGAAGCGGATGCACTGATTTCAAGTCAGTATAATGATTTTTTTCATTGTCACACCTTAGTTTGAGTCATTTGCACGTCACAATAAGGACAAATTTATTGCTTAACTTCATAATTAGTTTTTGTCTATTTTTTTTTCGACGTCGCTCACCAGCATACTCGTCAAATGACCATCTTGCATATCAACTCTTACAAATATTACCGCAGTAATGATAGACAATTCGTAATATTAATATGAATTTCTTAATGAGTGACCATCACGAAAACCCGCTGGAATGAGACCGCTCCCCTGGAAAACGCCTCTTCCAAAAGCTGAGGTTTCTACAAGCTCAAGTTCAATCATTTACTGATGATTGATTACACTTGAACTTAACTTGGCTGCAGTTTACCTAGGTGTCACCGTAGATTCTACGTGTTGAGACTTACCTGGACTTAGCTCAGGCTCCAGACGAGCATTGACGGCTTTACTCAAGGACCCACGCAAAATACGAAGTGACGTTGTCAATGGAAGAGTGAACTATTTGATTGTTTGTTGAGCAACAAATTTCAGATTATAAGAAAGCGAAAAAGGCAAGTTCATTGAGTACACATCGAAGAGTGAATCCATTCGAAGGAGAATCAAAACAAGAGCACGATTCTCAATTTAGTTTTCATCTTAACGTTAGTTGAAAGCTTTCAATTTCATTTCACATTAGTATCCATAATGTCAGTAAATTATAAAAATTGGCTTGATATTCAGCAACAGTTTGTGTAGAAATATGACTGGCAGATTGAAAATAATCAATAACTGGATATTTGTTAAGGATGGTGATGTTCGTTGCGTGGCATGGACTGAAATGTCGTTGACTATGGTCAATTTGCTGTTAAACGAAAACGAAGGAATATTTCGACGTCTCTCACCAATATTTTATTCGAATTTAGTCATTCTTCTGAATGGTTCAACAGATATATGTGTCCGTAAAACAACCGCCGATCTACTCATCAAACTCCTATCCGTCTATAAAATGTTCACTTTTCATAAACCGATCAGTTATTAGGCTATTCTTATGATCAGTGAATGTAACAACACGCTATATCAAACTAATTGTAAGAAAGAAGCGTATAATTCCTATTCGTTATTTATTTCTTTTTTACATGCATGATTAATCCGTTTCAATCTTGTTTTAAAGAATTTTGTAAAATTTTTAATTGTATCTTTCGTTTTTTTCGTCCTCTTTCTTTTCCTCAACAGAAAATGAGGCAGTATATTGTCCACTACGTTAATATTTGTACGAAAATTGGTTATATTCATCAACAGTGCGAATAAATATTATCATTACAATTCTTGTTATTTAGACATCAGTATTTTTCGTCACGTGTGAAAAAAACACCATCATAATGGCATTCTAGATAATCCTGCAGTTTAGGTCAAGGAGGAAGGGGTGTAGTCTATAACACACACAGAACATGCGTTATGGCATGTATGAAGACATGGCATGCATG